GTGACAAGTGCAGCACAACCAAAAAGAGAAAAAGTTTCAATTTTCACCTAATTAACAATAGACAGGTAAATTATTTTTCTTAATGACCCCATGACCCAACACCTGAGTGCTGCAGTGCATCATTCTCTATCCAATCACCCACTACTACCCAAAAACCTCTAGAAGAAGAAGATGAAGAAGGACAAGAGACAACAGCTTAAATTCTCCATCTTGTCTTCTGTTTTCTAAGCAAAACTCTAACTTTTTCACCCAGTGACTTAAGAAAACTCCTTAATTTACACACTTTTAGCTTTTCTATCTAACTTTAACATTTAAACTCAGTGTTTTCTTGGGTGTCAGAGCCCAAGGGCACACTCTCTGTGCCTCCAACAATTCCCAAGTGACACCCTGGTGTTTTCCAGCTGCCTTCACCATGATCGGCACCTCCAGCCATTTGTCGGATAAATGCTCCCAGTTTGCCATCCCCTCCCTGTGCCACTACGCCTTCCCCTACTGCGACGAGACCTCCTCCGCTCCCAAACCTCGGGATCTGTGCCGGGACGAGTGTGAGATCCTGGAGAACGTCCTGTGCCAGACCGAGTACATTTTTGCCAGGTCTAACCCCATGATCTTGATGAGGTTGAAGTTGCCCAACTGCGAAGATCTGCCCCAGCCCGACAGCCCCGAGGCTGTCAACTGTATCCGCATCGGGATCCCCATGGCTGATCCCATCAATAAAAGTAAGTGGGAAATATCTGGATTTTCTCCATGGAAAAGGTATTGCTGTGCCAGGATTGGCTGGAAGGGCTCGTGCATCCCACTCGGAGCCAGCGCTTGGGCGTTGGCGGCTCATGGGTGAATTTCACTTGTCCAGCAAGGGTAGGGATTCTGAAGGGATTTTTCAGGAATTCTGAAGGGTTTTTTTAGGAATTCTGAAGGATTTTTTTCAGGTGTTCTGAAGGATTTTTTCAGGAATACTCAAGGGGTTTTTTTCAGGAATTCTGAAGGGTTTTTTTAGGAATTGTGGAGGATTTTTTTCAGGAGTTCTGAGGGATTTTTTCCAGGAATTCTGAAGGATTTTTTTAGGAATTGTGGAGGATTTTTTTTCAGGAGTTCTGAGGGATTTTTTTTCAGGAATTTTGAAGGATATTTTTTACAGGAATTCTCAAGGATTTTTTACAGGAATTCTCAAGGATTTTTTTCAGGAATTCTGAAGGGGTTTTTTTAGGAATTCTGAAGGGTTTTTTCAGGAATTCTGGAGAGGGTTTTTTTAGGAATTCTGGAGAATTTTTTTAGGAATTGTGAAGGATTTTTTTCAGGAATTCTGAAGGATTTTTTTTCAGGAATTCTGAAGGATGTTTTCAGGAGTTCTGAAGGATTTTTTTCAGGTGTTCTGAAGGATATTTTTTCAGGAGTTCTGAAGGATATTTTTTCAGGAGTTCTGAAGGATTTTTTTTCAGGAATTCTGAAGGATTTTTTTCAGGAGTTCTGAAGGATGTTTTCAGGAATTCTGAAGGATTTTTTTTCCAGAATTTTGAAGGATATTTTCAGGAATTCTGAAGGATATTTTCAGGTCTTTGCTAAGTAATTGGAAACTGTGGAGTGTAAGTATTTGGATGCTGAGGAATATGGGTGGCTTCATCCTCCCTGCTCCTCATCCTCCTCCCACCTCAGCCTGACGTGCTCTGGCAGCACCACAAGTGCAGTGGAGGGATCCCTGTTAGGAGGAGCATTTCTAGGGCTGTCCTACCTAAGCCAGCCTAATTTTAGGCTCTGGCTGAGCCCACTCTTTGATCAGGCTGGGCTGCAGCCTGTTCACAGCTCTTCCACATCTGAACAGTCAAATATCAAACACAGCTCCCACAAATTTTCCACCTTCCTATGAAAATAATGGCTGCAATTCAATTTCCCATCATAGTTTTTGCCTTTTTTTGTGTATCTTATATTAAAAACATTTGGCAGAAGCTGTTTTCACTGCAGGAGCATAAGCTTTAAATCCTCCCAGGAACGGGAATGCAAAGCAGGCCCAAACTGGGAGCCTGGGGTTCCAAACTGGGCTGTGCTGGGAGATGCCAGCAGCCCATCCACAGGAGCTGCCTCCAGCAGTGCTCCAGAGCCTGCAGTCGCTGTTGGGGTTTTTCAGCTCAGCTTTCAGTTTTTCTCTTCAAGACCCAAGAGAACAGAAATACTCTCAGCAGAGCTGCCTCCCTGCAGGAGCGCAGGGATGTGGCTGTGTGTCCCTGCTGGCACCTCAGGTGTCTGTGTCACCTGAATCCCTGGGGCACCTCAGGTGTCTGTGTCACCTGAATCCCTGCTGGCACCTCAGGTGTCTGTGTCACCTGAATCCCTGGGGCACCTCAGGTGTCTGTGTCACCTGAATCCCTGGGGCACCTCGGCCTTCCCTGGGGCTGGGAATGAGGAGTTCCATTGGAAGTTAAAGTTTTTCTGCGGGATTTTCTCCCAATGTGCTTGGGAATATCTTGGGGCCATCACCCCGTGAACCCTGGGCCCTTTCCCCACCGATTTCCCGGTGCTGAGCTGGCTGTGGAGGAGTTTTCCATCTCTCCCATCCCTCTTTCCCCCTTCACACTCCTAAATTACGAGCAGCTTTGGCTTTTGCTTGTCCTTGCAGATCACAGGTGCTACAACAGCACGGGCGTGGATTACCGGGGCACGGTGAGCGTGACGCGCTCGGGGCGGCAGTGCCAGCCCTGGAACTCGCAGTACCCCCACACCCACACCTTCACTGCCGCCAGGTACCCCGAGCTCAACGGGGGCCACTCCTACTGCAGGAACCCCGGCAACCAGAAGGACGCTCCGTGGTGCTTCACCTTGGATGAGAACTTCAAGTCGGAGCTCTGCGATGTCCCGGCCTGCGGTAACGCCCGAGCTGCTTTGGGTTGGAGCTGGGGGCAAAAAGGGGAAGGGTTTGGTGCACAAAAAGGGTCTTTGGTGAGGCCCTGGGAGCAGAGGTGAAGGAAAGGCCGGCTGGGCCTGCTCTGAGGAGACCTTGCTGCCGCTGCAGTGACAAAGTGGTGGCATGAAAATCATTTCCTGGGGAATGGCTGTGCACTGCCAGCTCGAGTGGTCCTGACTTTCCAGGTTGTTCCAATCAATACAACTCCCCAAGCCAAATTAAATCATAGAAACAAGGAATTGTTGAGGTTGGAAAAGCCCTCTGAGGTCATCGAGTCCAACCTCGGCACTTCCAAGGCTGCCACTGTCCCATGTCCCCAATGCCACATCCACACACCTTTCAAATCCCTTTTTGAGGCCCTTTTAAGACCCCACCACTGCCCTGAGCAGCTGTGCCAGGGCTGGACAACCCTTTCAGTGGAGAAATTTTCCCAAATATCCAATCTAAACCTCCCCTGGCCCAGCCTGAGGCCGTTCCCTCTCCTCCTGTCCCTGTTCCTGGGAGCAGATCCCAAATCCCCCCGGCTGTCCCCTCCTGCCACTCCCTCAGGGATTCTCCAGCCCCTTCCCTTCCCTGGACACGCTCCAGCCCCTCCATGGCTTTCTCCTTGTGAGGGGCCCAAAAACTGGGAGAGGGTTTGAGATGCACATGATGGAGCCCAGACTATCTGCCTTCCCCCTCATCTACCCTTTCAGTAAGAACATAATTTAGAACCCATTTTGGCATCGATTCCCATCTTTCCATTAATTG